AGGCGGATCACTGTGAGTTCGAGGCCAGCCTGGTCTAAAGAGGAGTTCCAGGACAGCCTCCAAAACAATACAGAAAAACCCTGTCTGGAAAAAAAAAATTAAACAAAAAAACCCCTCAGCTGTAAGCCGTAATATTCTGCTTGCTCTAAAGTGGGCAGAATTCATGCTGCCAATAAAGAAACATTTGTTTTTGCATTCAGTGAGTCGTATCCTTGGTGGTAGACTTTTTGGGGTCCCTCGAACCAAGCATAACAACATAAAAATACTTTTGCTAGTATTATAACCATAGTACGAGCAAGTTTACTTGTTGTTGAAAGTCTCCAGATTACAAAGCTTCCATGGTTACATAGGATGCAACAATAACTGTATGTTTAGGCAGGTTGCAATCAAGCAGGATATTTTTGGGGGAAATAAGTTTGTTAATTATCTCCTGGGCCAGGGAGTTTTACAACTGTGAGTTGATGGCTATCTAGTCTTCTTTAGGATAGAGAGATGTTGACACAGCTGGGGTGTTATCTGGTCTCAGGCTTCTAGCCACAAAACCAGTCCTTTGTTTAGCTTTATCTGTCAGACTGCCTTTAGGAACACAGAGGAGCTTGAAAGTTTTCTTTTTCCTATATGGGCTTTGTAATCTAAGCTTTTAGACTTTTATTAATTTTTTCCATTTCAGTGTTTTCAGATTCAATAACAAAAATAAGTCGAAAGGTTATATAATACAAACAAAAGTCTTTTTATGCTTTCATATTCAATAACAAAAATAAGTCAGGCGGGTGTGGTTCTTTTTTTTTTTTTTTAATTCCAGAACTGGAGAGGCAGAGGCAGGTGGATCTCTGTGAGTTTGAGGCCAGCCAGGTCTACAGAGCGAGTGCCAGAATAATCAGGGCTACACAGGGAAACCCTGTGTTAAACAAACAAACAAACAAACAAACAAACTCCCATTTCCTAAAGCTTCCTGAAAAGTGAATAAGGAAATAATTTTTAATTCCTTATGGGAAATTATTTTTCACTAGATATTTGACGTCTTTACCTTCCACAAATTGGTTAACTTCCTTAAGTCCTAGTTCCTTGACCTTTAAAGTGAAGGTGATAATAAGACACTTCATGACTATTGTCAGGATTAAGTGGAAAAAGAATGTAACGTGCCAGGCATAGTGTTTGAGGGTGCAAAAAGCTTTCAATCATGGATTAATAGTTCTTTTTTTTTTTTTTTTTGAGACAGGGTTTCTTTGTATAGCCTTGGTTGTCCTGGAACTCACAGAGATCTGCTTACCTCTGCCTCCTGAGTGCTGGGATCAAAGGTGTGCACCACCACCACTTGATGACAACACATCTTATAGAAGAAAGAATTTATTAGGCTTGTGGTTTTAGAGGTTTAGTGTCCATAATGGTGGAGCTAAGGCATGAGGACAGGAACAGCTAAGAGTTCACATTTTTTTTTCCGAGACAGGGTTTCTCTGTATTGTTTTGGAGGCTCTCCTGGAACTCGCTCTGTAGACCAGGCTGGCCTCGAACTCACAGAGATCCGCCTGCCTCTGCCTCCCAAGTGCTGGGATTAAAGGTGTGCGCCACCAACGCCCTTCGAGAGCCTGCATCTTGATCTGCAAGATAGGAAGCAGAGAGGGAGTACACTAGAAATGGAGTCTTTGAAACCTTCAACCCCACCCCCAGTGACACACCTCCTCCAACGAGGTCACACCTCCTAGTCTTTCCTGAGTAGTTCTGCTAACTGGGAACCAAGCCTTCAAATATACGCGTCTATAGGGACATTCTCATTAAAGTAGCCACACTCCCAGAACCCACGTAAAAGCTCAGCCTGCCCTCTGTCTGCCACACTCATGCTGTGGTATGTATACACCCAAACACATAAACATGCACACACGTATACACGAAGTAAATATTTGTTTACTCATTGGATTTTTACTGAGCAGGGTCTCTCTATATGTAGCCCCATTTGCCCTGGAACTCATGTGTAGACCAGGCTGGCCTTGACTCAGAGATCCACTAGCCCCTGCTTCCCTAGTGCTGTGATTAGAAATGGGCACCCAACATGCCTGGCCATTTAATACAAATTTAAAAAAGGAAGTTTAGTTCTTTTCTTCATAACACCAGCTTGGACTACAGGAGATCTGACTCAAACAAAAAGTAAAAAATAAAACCCAGGGGGCTGGAGAGCTGGCTCAGAGGTCAAGAGCACTGACTGCTCTTCCAGAGGACCTGGGTTCAATTCCCAGCATCCAAATGGCAACTCACAACTCTCTGTAACTCCAAGATCTGACACCCTCACACAGACATACATGCAGGCAAGACACCAATGCAAATAAAATAAAAATAAATAAATTATTTAAAAAAGCAAACAAGAAACCCCTAAAAGCAAACCAGAAAGAGAACATATGTGTACACAGATTGTGATTGAAACTCCAGACATCTAATTGACTATCTTTCATTATTTCTATCTGATGCTAATTAGTTCATCCCTACCTACCCGGTTGAGTGCAGACAGAACATGACAGAACATCCAGTCAGCTATAAAAAAATCATTAACTAGAATCCCAGCTATGGAGCCTGTCACCCCCCTTTTCTTTCTTCCTTCCTTCCTTTCTTTCTTCTCTCTCTCTCTCTCTCTCTCTCTCTCTGAAACAGGGCTTCTCTTTCAATGTCTATATGCACATGTGTGTGCAGAGTCCAGAAGAGTGTGTCAGAGACCTGGGAACTGGAGTCACCAGCACTCGTCAGCTGCCATACTCGAGTGCTGGGTACTGTACTGCAGTCCTCTGCAAGAGCAGCAAATGTTTAGCCTGCTGTTTAGTCCCAAGTTGCAGTTTCAATTGGAAGCAGAGTCTCCTCTTGCTGAAAGAGGAGCTTATTCGTGGGCCTATGGGAGGACTCAGCAGGTAAGGGCACTTGCTGCCAAGCCTGACCACTTGAACTGGAAACCTGGAGCCCATGTAGTAGGAGAGGAGCAAGATTTCTGAAGGGTGTCCCGGGAACACCACAGGAGCACTGTAGCACACACTTACCCCCTATAAACAAGTAAGTGTTACATTAAAAAAGGCCTATTCTTTTTTAGATCTCTAAGGTCACACAGCTCAGTGATATCTGTTAGTTAAACTTATTCTTCAAAGGAATAAACTTGGGTGTGGGAATTACAATCTGAATAGATATTCCAAGGAGAAAATTATCCCTTTATTTGAAATAGATGGGTTAATTATTTTGAGCTATGCTCTATCCCTTAATTATTCTATTATATACAGACCTTAACTCCTCTGAGAAGAGTGTATGGTTTAAGGACACCAATGAACATTTACAGAATATTAACAAACTAACAATAGGTTGATGATTCACCCTGGATTCATGCCAGAGTCTGTGAAAGAACTCAATAAACATGATATGCATTTCAAAAACTGGTAATTATAATTAAAATTTCCAAACCCCTCAATCCTATAAATTATATTAAGTAGAACAGGAGCATTTGGCTTGCCCCGACTCGGGCTTGTAGTATCTGGTAGATTTGGAGATTATGTCTTTGAGCATAGTGGGAATATAGTGATAGTTTTCAAATGTGATACTTGGCTTTTGCCTCTCTCTCTCTCTCTCTCTCTCTCTCTCTCTCTCTCTCTCTCTCTCTCTGTCTGTCTGTCTCTGTCTCTCTCTCTGATTTTGCAAGACAGGGTTTCTCTGTGTAGCTTTGAAGACTAGGCTGGGCTTGAACTCACAGAGATCCACCTGCCTCTGCCTCCTAAATGCTGGGAATAAAGGCGTGCACCACCACTGCTTTGCCTTTCTCTTTTTGCCGGCACTGTTGAGACAGTCTGGTGCATAGTTCTGACTGGCCTGGAACTCACTTTGTAGACCAGGTGGGCCTTAACCTCTAATTGATAGCTCCTGCCTCTGGCTCTCTAGTGCTAGGATTACAGGCATGAGCCACCACACCTGGGTGGCACAGTCCACTGCACGCTCTCCCAGCACAGCACAGTCACTGGTCTCCTTAAAAAAAAAAAAACCTTCTGTGGTTATGGTCTGTTCTTTATTACTAAGACTTCTTGTTTTGATTTTTAATCGTGTGTGTGTGTGTGTGTGTGTGTGAGTGTGGTTTGTGCTCACGGAGGCCAAATGAGAGTGTTGGATCCCCCGGAGTTGGAATCACAGGCTCTGCAGTCGCCTGATGTTGGTGCTGGGAACCGAACTGGGGTCCTGTGCAAACAGCGGTATGTGCTCCTGACGACTGGGCCAACTGTGGAGCCCCGTTCTTACTGCATAAATGAGACTTTTTATTATTGTCATCAAATAAGCAGTACAATTTACCAACTCTGCTTTTCTTGTTCTTCAATTCAGTTTTTGTCACACAGTATTTTTAAAAACCTTATAAATTGCCAGGCAGAATTAAGTCTGTAAACAAATCCTCCGAACCCACTTTGTAGCTTCCCTTGGACCTCAAGGGATAGGAATCTGTTTCTTAAATGACTGAAAAAGCAAATTATGGCGCTGGTAATAACAAGAGCGAGTGGACCCCTGCCAAGCCCACCCCGGAGATCTGCCCATTGGAGGGAGGATCATCCCCGCGGGTCACAGCTCAAAAGCTGGTGGCCGCGAGCGCGGCCTGCGGCCAGGGAGGGCCGACCAGGCACAAAGCCGCTCCCGGGGCGGGGAGCCCGTCGCACTGGTTCCGGCCACCGCCCGGAGCGCGCACCCAGAGGCCCGGCCGCACCGCCGCCGCCGAAGCTTAGCGTGTTCCCTGGCGTTTTTCTTCCGCTCGTTTTATTAAAAAGAGAAAAATAAAGAAAAAAATAAAAAAAGAAGAAAAAAGAAAAAGAAAAAAAAAATGGAAGAGCGAGCCGGAGCAAACAGTCCCGCCCCCTAGGCCCGCCTTCCGCCTCCCATTGGCCCGCGGTACGCTGGCGTCACGCGCAGACGCGCCAGTGGCGAGGCGCGATACTGCGAGGTGGGCCGGGCCCGAGCGCGGAGTGGGCGGCGGGTCGGCGCCGCAGCAGCCCCGCGGCTCCGCCACCATCGCGGAGGTGCCGCTGCTTCCCTCAGACGCTCGCGAGCCGCCCCCCGCGCTCCGCAGCCTCTCGCCACGCCGGGCCTCGGTCCCCGCCTCCTTTCCCCGCGCCTCGTCCCCCTCGCGCGCTCCCCGCCTTGTCTCCGCCTCGTTTTCTCTCCTAGTTGAGAGGAAAGGGGGAGAGAGAGAAAAAAGCCTCCCTCCTCCTCCTCTTCGTCCTCCTCCTCCTGTGGGAGCCCCTCGCCCTCTGGGGGGGAAGGAAAGGGGAAAAAAAAAAGCCAACACAAAACCAGACATGGTCCTGGGCTCCCGCTGCTGAAGGCTTGGCCCGCCCGAGGAGCTCCGAGTCCCGGCAGGGAAGCCCCGCAGCGCCCCCCTCCCTCCCCTTCGGCGTCGTGTCCCCGCGGGCCGGCCCCCCTCGGCCCCGCGTCCGCCGCCCTCCGTCCGCCGCCGGCCCCCGCGGCCTCCCTCCCGGTCCCAGCACTTTCCCCGGAGCCCGGCCGCCACCCCTCTCATTGATGGTGTAGCGCCTGAGGGGAAGGTAAGTGTCCCAAGTTGTGCCGCGCCGCGCCGCGGGCTGCCTCCCCTCAGCCCCTCGGTCCCGGGTCGGGGTGCTCTTGGGAGGGCCGAGAAGGGGGGTTCAGCCGGGTAAAGCAGAGGCGAGCCCTCGCGGGGGGCCGGGGTTGGTTGGGGGGTGGGGGAGTCACGGGCCGGACGCTGGCTGTAGTCCTGTGCCGGCCAGGTGACTTGTCCTACGTGCCTCTTGACCCCTGCTCGCTCTCGGCTGGCTCCTTCCTTTAGGCGCACGCTCCTCTGCTCGTCCTGAGGTTTGTAAACTGTTGTGTTAGCCGCCGAGCCGCTCCACTGTGGGAGGGGAAGGACTCGAAGCTGTGCATTTCTTGGATGTTTGTCAATGCGGGGGTCTTGGGAACCGACTCATTTAAAGTCTCATTTCACATTAGGAGGAAGATTTCCTCCTTTGTGTTAATCAAGTCTCTACTCCTCTGCCCTGTGATTCCGAAATTATGGGACCAGATCTCACTTGGGCAGCGGCGTAGAATTCTGTCATGATTTAAGTTCTGCTGTCTGGAAGAGGGTGCCTTGTCTTTTTCTTTATTTTAATTTTTTTAAAAATTATAGGAGGAAGGTAGTTTTACGTAGAAATAGGGTCGAATAGGTGTGTTGTGTTGAAGGGAGTATTGCAGGTTTCCCTTGAAACTGCTTGAGAAGTTGTTGAAAAGAAAATAAAATGATTCATTGTTGAATTGTCATTATCCTCTGTCTCTTCTCCAAGGTTTGCTTACTTTTTTTTTTTTTGATTACAGACTTCAAACATTGATTTAAGCAGAATGTGCCCTTGAGAAACTCGGTGTTTTAAATGTTGCAGCATGTGCTGCTATTTTAAGGTGGATCTAAGAAAGTTGTTTTGTATGGACCCTGAAATAGCTTTCTCCAAAACAATTTTTATAACAAAAAAAGACTAACTGGTGAGGGTGGACTTGGTGGGTTGCAAAACAGACATTTAGTGTAACTCGAGCGAATACATCCTAGGTGGAGATTTCTAACAGTTTTTTTTAATTGCTTTCCATTTAAAGAGAGGCCTTTTTGTCTGGTGTACACTGGTTTCTTTAGTCTCAGTCTGATGGGGGAGGGGAGAGAGAGGATGGATCTATACAATAATAAAATCATCTTTGGCTAGATATTTCCTCCCATGGATTTGCTTGCTGAGTTAATTCTACTCTAAATTACAAACATTTTTGATTTTGATGGCCTAGCCTGGGTGGAAGCTGGCTTCCACAGTTTTCTCTGTTGTTGAGGTCGAGGGGAAAAAAGGCAGAGGCAGAAGCAGACACACATACACCACACACACCATACACACACACACCACCCCACCCACCACACACACACACACACACACACACACACACACACACACACACACACACACACACACCACACAACCAGGCTGAGGGCTCATTGTTCTTCGTACACACATCCATTCTCTCTCCCATATTTGGGACTGGGTTTGCACAGACAAACACAGCTTTTTTTGGGGGAGAGAGGAGAGAAGATGGGGGAAGGGGAGGTGCTTTTCTCTCTCAGCTTTCTTTCATGCCTGGCCTTTCTTCCCCCTCCAGCCTTTGCGAGGCAGACGAGTACATGGGGAGCTAAAGGACACTCTGGGACGTGTTCAGAAGACTCCTGTCTCCCTTTCCTCCTGTGCAGCTCGCTTTCTGTCGCTTGCTTCTCATTGGTTTATTTTTTGTTTGTGTAAAGATAAACTCTCTGTCTTGGCTTTTCCATTCTCTTTACCTCTGACTCTGTTAGGGTCAGGGGATTGGCTCACTTGATTTTTATCTTACTGAGTGTGACCAGGGTCTCTTTAAGTAGAAATAGGTTGCCTCAGTTAAAAATGATCAAGATTGTATTTGAGGTTAATATTTGGCAAGGTGTGTGTGTGTGTGTGTATGAGAGAGAGGAGAGAGAGAGAGAGAGAGAGAGAGAGAGAGAGAGGAGAGAGGAGAGAGGGGAGATTGATTGATGGCCCTTGACTTATCAATGAAGTTTTTGTTTTTGTTTCTAACAGTGGTTTTTAGGAAAGATCTGGTTTTCTGGTTGGGGGCTGGGATAGAGACCCTTTAGAACACTGGACAGGGCTGAGAGTCCACCTGGCTAAATCCAGCTCTGGGCCAAGGATGGAGGTTAGTGTGAATACATGTGGTTTGCGGAATAGCACCTTCTACTGGTTAATTGCTTTGACGATCCAGTGAAGAGGGTGGGGGAGGGGATTAACGGCTGAGGCTTAATGATTTTCTTTTAAACACAGCGGCTGTGCCTTCCTGCAAATGCCACTTCCCCAGGCTGCTAATGCAGATGCCCTTTGACAGGCGCACTTGCGTGGCAGCCTTATTATGTTATTGGCTGTGTCTTGACATTAATTTGTTCTGTTATCTGGGGTATTTTCACATTGTGACTTCTAAGGACTCCTTTGAATTGATGCTCTTTCGTTTTATGAGGATTGTAGTTTGTCTTAAGCTAGTAAGCAAAATAGGTGTTTATTTGTATTCCAGGTGTCAGAAACAATACCCACCAGCAGCCCTTTAAGAAAAATTTTTAGTATCATTAAAAAGATAAATTTATCTTATAGAAAATAAAATTCTAACATTAGAGATTTTCCTCTGGGATTTAAACACCCATTCCCTGACAGAGAGGTTGCAGAGAAGTTGAGGTGGGGAAATCTCACTAAAATCAGCAATTTGGTGCTGTATTAAATAGTATTTTCCATAGTTGTATCAATATTATAGTAATAAGCCTGATAGAATGGCTTGTGGATTTGATTTCTTTTTTTCTTTTTTTTTTAAAGCTGGAGGCTAGCGAAACTTTGTGTATAGGGGTGAACAGAGCAGATGATAGATGCCTCAAGAGTTTCTGGGCTAATATGCAGTTTCATAAGTAGCTGCTTGACAAGTGAGTGCCTCACAGGAGTTACCATCCTGGGTCCTAACCCATGTCAGTTGTTTTAATGCAACGCCAATTAGAGAGGTTTGTAGCTGTAAACATGTATCCAGACTGACTGTTCTTAAGATTGTCCCTGCTGATTCACTGTAGTTCCAAAAGCTTGAAGCACAGTCCCTAAGGTGGTGTGTTTTTTACAATGCAGTGTGAACAGTTCAAATGTAGTATTTGTTTAGTGGGGATACAATCAGGTAATTTCAGTTCAGTGTAGGCTTTATCAATATTTTGTTGAAAACAAGTTGAAGTAACTAGAAACCAGTTTGAACTAAAAAGGTTACTAAATCAAGAAATGAAATATTCCAGTACTTTCTCACTTAGTGGTTAGTAAAGCAGGTTTTATTTATTTATTTTAAATGTGACAGTGTCTACTACCAGATCCCACAGTAATATGCATGCTATTGTACTGATGCTGATGCACAGGCTTCCTGTGTGATACTGTATCACAGGCATCCTTTGAGATGCTGGAAGTACAGGCATCCTGAATATGATGGTACCCTAACCCTGTGTATAGTGGACATTATTGTGAATATCCTGAGTACCCACTATTTTAAAATTGGTTTTGAATTTTTCACATCTTGTTCAAATCTCCGTAATCTTTAAAACATTTGAGTAGTAAAATAAGTTGTACATACTGAGTTCCCTTGGGAATCGTGTGTTCTCCTGCTAACTGTTTTTGGCAGCTACTTTTACAATTGATTTAAAGGTTAAGATAGCAGGAAATTCATATTTTTAAGTGAATCATTAGTGTGACCTAGCTGTGAACTTCATCTCCCCTGCCCCCCACAAAAATACACACACGAGGGAGAGGGAGGGGGGGACAACTACACACGTTACTGCTCTGTGTAAGTCTTCTGGTAGCACTGTGCTCTAGACTCTAGTTGATCATAGGTTTTTAATCGCCAGGAATTTGTCTTGAATCATATGTGAGTAATTATTAATTATTGGCACCCTGATAGTTATTCCACAGTTGAAGTTTGCATAGCCTGTTTAAGTGTGATTTTTGGCAAGCATGTTAGTTTGTGCTTAGCTTCTTGTCTAACACGATTCTAGTGTTTTTAAAGTGAGAAATGTGCATTTAAATATTCTATTCGTTACAGTATTACTAAGATTGCTTATGCCATTTCAATGAGCGTTTCTACTACAAATAACTCAAGTAAGACCAAATATTTATCAGCTTGGAGTTTTGGTTGGATTTTTATTTTTACTTATATATATATATATATATATGTGTGTGTGTGTGTGTGTGTGTGTGTGTGTGTGTGTGTATTATTTTGGAGACAGGGTCTGGCTATGTAGTTCACATTGGCAAGCCTGCTGTAGCCTCCCAAGTGCTGAGATTATAGGTGTGTGCTTCCATGTTGGCTTGGAATTGTTGTTTATATAAATAATTTGTTGGTGTACCAAGTAATTAAGATATAATTCATGACCTTATGTTAGGTATCTAGGTCAGATAAAGCTGCTAACATAACATGTTCTTTAAATTCTTTTTTTTTTTTTTTTTTTTTTTTGGGCTGGAGAGATGACGTAGTAGTTAAGAGTTCTGGGTGCTGCTCTTCCAGAGGACTCAGATTCAGTTCCCAGCTTCCACATGGTGGTTCACTGCCAGTTATAACTCCAGCCCTGGGGACCTGACACCCTCTTCTGACCCCTTAGAGCGCTGAACACGTGTAGACACGCAGTGCACAGGTGCACAAGAAGGCTAGCACCCAAATGCATAGAACAAAGAGAGCTTAAAGTGTCTTAGAAAGTTACTGCATTCAGGTGTTCCAGTGCTGTGGAGGCAGAGGCAGCCAGATCTCTGTGAGCCCTGTGTACGTAGTAAGTTCCAGGTCAGTCATGGCTGCATGGTGAGATTATCTCTCAAAAAAAAAAAAAAAGAAAGAATTGTTTTATTAAACTGTGGGGTGGGGGAGGTGGGGCAATACTTGATCCGTGTGGGCACTCGTGTGCACGTGGGGCTCAGGAACAACTTTGGAAGTCAATTCTTTCTGCTGTGTATATACTGGGAATCTAATTCAGTTTGTC